AACTGAGTTTTCTTCTGCATGTAACGGTTTGTCATGAAACGTTTTGTTATTGAACTGAATCCGATTTCCGCATTAATGGTTTATCATTAAAAGTCCGTTACGCTTACATGGTTTATCTGGCATGCTTCAAAGTTTTACCCAAGGGCTATCCATATTTACTTACTGAGTTTATCTCATAGTTTTCCTTGTCTACCATTTCAGGAAGTGAAAGGGAGGACGGGGGAATCAAGGGGAGTGACAAGTTAGAAGGCTAGCCATTTTGAGATTGAGCATAGATTTAGAAATAAATCATGATCTTGTATTTGGAGATTTTATTGGAGATTTATGATATCAAAGAGATTTTATAATTTGATCTTCAGATTTTGATGGTATTAGTTTGTGATTTGAATAAGTTCCGAGCCTTATGCACTTGTGGGACCCGTCTCACGAGTGCACGGCGTCTGTCGCGCCTCAAATTTGGGTTCTGGGGCGTGACAGCTAGTGAGGTGACAATGGAAAACTAAACATTTTTGTAATATATGTAACTTCTATTTATTTCAGATGATAAATCAAAATTCTTCACGTGTAATTCATCATGGAGGAAAGATAGTGCATGATGAAAAGAAAGGCATAGAAAGGCACAGAGTATAAGGGTGGAAAAGTTAGTTATGTTGACTTGATAAATGTTGATAAGATTTCTTGGCTTGAATTAAAGGATATGCTTAAGATACTAGGGCATAATATTGAAGATGTGAATTGCTTTTGGTTAAAGCTATGTTTGAAACTTATTGATGGTTTTATCAAAATGATCGATGATAAAACAGTAATGGATATGGTTGCCCACTTACCTTCTGATCATTATGTGCATGTTTATGTGGAGGTGAGGTCAAATCATGATTGGGATAGAAATGAAGAGAACAATGTTGTAATACTCCAAATTTTTAGCACTTATATTGAATAAATTATTTATTTATTTAAGTTAGGTGTGAGATGACTAATATGAGAGGGGATTCTAATGGGGGGACCAAGTTTTCACATTCTTCAATCTTAGGGATGTTGGCAAAAAAAAAAAAAAAGGTTGGACAAACATAAATAAAAAGGAATAGAAAACCTAATTCCCTTTTCTATTTCTCTCATCTTTCGAGCTTTCCTCTTCTTCTTTTCTAGTTTTTCCTCTCTACTTCCATTCTAAATCCAAACCCTTGAAGTGATCAACCTCATAGCCACTCTATGATGCTTTTTCTTCTTCTTTTAATCAACATTTTGCTACTGGTTGTTCTTCCTTTCCTTGTCTGTGAATTGACTATTCACTGGGTGCATCCTTGCTGTTTTGGGTAAGGTTTCTTTCATGTTTGCTAATAGGTTTTGTCCAAATTTCATTTTTATTTTCATTCTTCCACTGAACTCGTGACTAGGCAGCCACCTATATCAAAATTTTCAGCCCTAATTGCACCTAAATTTGTGCAGAAATTTTGGTTGTGTCATGCAAATTCTTGGCCTTGATCTCGTCTTTGAAGTGGACATTTTAGATTGATAAAAATTTAGGTAAGAGCCATGTGTCTGAATTTTAAAACCTTGTTATTTTATGCTTGATATTTAAGATGTTTTTATGTTAATTTTGGTACAAAAATCTGGTTAGAAGTTGTCCGTACTGCTACTTTGTTTATACCAGTTTAAGCCTTGATTTTTCTAGCTATTTTGTACTAGAAAGTATGTGTTTCTGTTGTTTAAATCTGCACATCTCATGCCCATTAAATCTGGTTTGTTTGGGGTGAGTTTAGTGGCTAATTTTTTTGTTCTACTGTTAACTGCCTTTACTCCATTTTGGTTTGTGAAGTTTTGTTCTGTTAGTTACATTAAAAAATTTGTTTTAGGTGTTGCTTTAACACCAGAATACTACCTTGCTTGGCTATTGAAATGTTGGTTGTCCTGTCTTAGTTTTGGTTCATTTTCTGCTGCTATTTTAGCCATACATTTTGCTGTTTTTTGCACTATTTTAAACCAGAAAATTCTATATTTTCCTGCACCTTCCCTTGCTATTTTTCTACACTGTTTTAACCCAAAAAATTTTGCATTTTCCT